TGTTACTCTGCTGAATTCATAGCTGAGTTCAGGCTTTGGTGCTTGGTCTTTGCCTGACACTTTTTGTTCGCTTTCTTCTGGCAGAAAGGTAAACACATAAACTCTTGATGTACTTGAATGCTCTTCAATGAAAATGAGCTATTGAGTCACCCGAGATCCTGTATGATATTTGTTTTGCTCAAATTTTGTGTTAAAGCTGTCTCATTAGTGCTGAATCTGATTTTGCTATGAAGTTATAAAGCACACATGTTAATTTGAGCTTTAAAATTCACTATGTGTCGATTTGATTAATAGTCGAAGTGTTTACTGTAAGATTAAATCCGAAATGTTGACAACATACCCTATGCTTTACGCTATTCTGTTTATGTGATAATCTCCTGTTGGTTTGGTTTAATTCTGTACCTTATATAACCAGCACAACAGTTGTCTGCCTTTGTTAAGATTGACAGCGAATTTTTCAGGATTGAAGTGTAAATGAAAAATTAATTTGTTTGACACATAAGTGATAAGAGCAAAATGATAGGCATTGGGTTCTGGAAAAGTTCATCTCTTGTTTCATTAGTCAGGAATAAGCCATGAGTAGAGATGATCCAAAGGTAGCATTAAATGAAGGATTGTAACTTTGTACTCCTTAATGTCGTTTGCATGCTTTATTAAATGCGCTTTCCCTTGCTTCTGAATCCTCGATCCCTTTGCAATGTTGGTATGAATCAGAATGATCTCAAGAGTGGAACATTAGTAGTTAATTGAGTTGTTACCGATTTTAGTGTTGAATAACTGGTTGATCCAAATAATTGAAACGAACAGTCTTCTTCCCACATGAAGTTCCATAAATCTTGACCTTACAACAAATCTCAAAGTAGTTTATGAAAAATATTCTAAATATCGTAGTTTACTTTAAGCGCGATTAATAATAAATCATCGTGACTATGGGTACGGTTCCCGTGGCATGGTCATGATACATAATTTCTAATTCGAGTGTGCGTTTCACGTGACTCGACCACAACTTCAAACAATAATAAAAATAAGCATGTCGTAAATCGTGGGTGCATTTCATGTGGCGCGGCTTGCGACGTGTGCCAAAACGACAAGTGTACGACATCGTGACTTGTTTCAGAAATAATTTCATAAATAATTAAAAGCGGTTAAAAGATAAACAATGCACCGTAAGTTTCAAATATGTATGAAATCAGATAATTATGCAAATTATTAATAATTGAGCGACCGTGCTAAAACCACAAAACCCGGGAGTGCCTCACACCTTCTCCCGGATTAACAAAATTCCTTACTCGGTCTTCTGTGTTCGCAGACCATAAATAAGAGTCAAATTCCTCGATTTGGGATTTAAAGTAAACTGGTGACTTGGGACACCATAAATATTCTAAGTGGCGACTCTGAATCTAATAAATGATCCCATTTCGATTAATGTCACTTTAATTGAAAAAACTCCCCTATTCCCCTCGGGAAAAAGGAGGTATGACAGCTCTGGCGACTCTGCTGGAGATAAGAACCCAGAATCTCTGATTCAGGGTTCATAATTCGAGCTTAGAATAACTGTTATACTTGATTTTTGTCTATTATCTGATTTTTACGTGTTTGAGCATAATGTGCTAAATGCCGCTTTTTACCGCTTTGATATTGTTTGAACTGTATATAAACTGCTACGAAACCCTCCTTCTCTCTGAGTCTTCTAAATCTTCTGGGGAGCATGCGCTTCGCGTGACTTCTTTTCTGTTAGAGTCATATCCTAATTTTAGAATGAGGTTCGGACAAGTTGCAAAGCCGGTGAAACCTCTGTATTCCCGGTACACTGCCCCTCCCGGCTCGAGTTGTCCGCTCGGGTAAGCCAGGTCTAGAACAATACACCCAGAATTTAAAACTTAGAATAACACAGCCTCATACCGGATCCCTAGTAGGTACGTTTGCTTGCATCACGTGCATTTGACTTAGGGGACTCAACACAGGGGTTGGGTCCGTCTAGGATAGGTGCACCCGAAAATCAAAAGACCATCCTGATGCATTCTTTACGTGCTACTTGTGCATTAATTTGCTTGGCTTGTATGTTGACCGGCTTCTAGAGTAAGGAAAGAAAATTAAGAAAAAAAGAAAAAGAAAAACCAAGAGTGAGGTAGGATAGAAAAATGCCCGGTTTTGATAATCCCGATATTCAAAAATCCCGTTACTCTGCCAAAGTTTCAAAAAAAAAGAAAAAAATTATTTCAAAACAAATCATATCTTTCCGTGCATCAAGATAGACCGAACTACGCGGGTTTGATTCTCACCGGATGTGAGATACGCAGGTAACCCTCATCGGGTTCGGCCCCGTTTTTGCAAAAATAACCAGAAAATATGAAAATGCGTCATTTTGTCATAAATAAATTTA